GGCGGGACCGGGGGGGGGGAGGCGCCGCTCTGCGAAGCGAGTGGAGGCTAAGAATAGTCCCCAGCAGACACCCACCCACCGCCCGGCGGCGGGCTGCGCGGCTCCCAGCCCTACACTTACTACCTCTCCCCGAGTTGGGGAGGGTGCCCGGCCTGCCATCGGCGCGGGGAGAGACTCGGTGGCCAGGGCCGGCTCCCGGGGTGTGGGCGGTGCTGACCCTCGTCAGCCACCAGCATCCAGCCCAGATTTCAGCCCCCTCCCTGCTGGCGCCTCTTCTTCGAATTCTGCAGCGGGTCGTGCCAGGCCCGGGGGGAGAGAGTTTGTATCTGGTGATTGGTGAGGGGTTGGCAGCGGGTGAACTGTGCTGGGAGCAAGGAGGAGGGCCAGGGACGGTCCTGGCCTGCCCACCCAGGGCTGTGGGCAAGAGCAGTCTGCGTATGGCCTGCAAACCGGAGAAGTTGGCCGGGTCTGGGAGGAGCCCTGCTGGTAGGCCCTAGGGGCTCCCCTGGCCCCCACTTGGGGCTGTGCACCGGGCGCTCTCTGGTGGGTGCCGGGGCAGCACCCTGAGGCCTGGGCTCTGTGAACTTGCAGACATCACACTTTTGGGAGCTCAGGCAGGTCCCTTCCTCCCAGGTTTGTGGGTGCCCTCCCCGGGCAGGAGGAGGTGGTGTCTGACTGCAGCTTGTCCCAGCCTGCACCCTGCCCTCCACACCCTCTCCTCGTCCTGTCAGGGCCACTGTGCTGGTCTGGGGCCCTCTCTCCCGTCCTGTCTGTCCCGCACCCGCACCGGGGAGGAGGCCTCCCCCTCTGCGGTCCCCTCGGCATGTGCCGTCTGGGGAGCTCTGCGCTGGCGGAGCGGCTCGCTGTGCCATATGCAACAGGAAGTCCCGGCTCGGCCTGTCTTCCCTTCTCGGCTGCAAACACTTTTCAGAGTCATCTTGTCAGAAATGTTTAATTCATTGCTGCAGCATCTCATGGTTTTGGAAGGAAGTGGTCCTTCTGTCGTCTCCATAACCAGCTTTGCTCCGTGTCCACCACACCTCTGGCCGAGGCCAGAACCCAGGAGGGCCTTCCTCGCCCGCCGTGTGCCCCCGGTGCCCCACGGGCCAGCCGGTCATTGTCATGACGGTCCTTTCTGTCTGTAAACTTCCATTGTGAGCTGTGGCCAGAACACACATGCGCAGGCAAGGTCCTGGGGGTCAGGGCCTGTGAGCTGGAGGCCAGAGAGCGAGACAGATGCCCCCAAGCCGACCCCCCCGGGCGGGGAAGCCACCCTCCCCTGGTCTTCAGTGATCTCCACCCAGGACGGGGGCTGCTCTCTGGGACACGCCACGCTGGGCCGGTCCCAGGAGAGGGTTGGAGTTGAAATCGAACCTAGAGATGTTGGTTTGCCTGAGAAAAGAAATTGTCAGATACATTTTGTGCGGGTGTGTTTGTGGATTCTGACCGGTGGTTCTGGGCCTGTGCCTCTCACGGGGATGCCTACAAAGGGTGGCCCAGCCGAGGTGTTATCGTAGCGGGGCTGTGGGTGCGCCCCAGGGCGCCTGACGGCAGCGCTGGTGCTTCTCTCTGCCTTTACTGAGCGCTCAGCTGCCTTACCGGAGAGAAAGGTTGGAATAATCCGTAAGGTCGGGAAGAAGAGATTGTCCTCGCTCAACTGCCCTGGGGTGGGAAGACACTGAGCTTGGAACCCGAGTCCGGCCACACTGGGCGTTTCCCAGCCTCCGTTTCCCCACCCGTAGGAGGGAGGGGCATTGCACAGTGGCCACCTGCCCGGTTGACTCTGAGGGGCTGGGGGAGCCCTGGTACCTGCAGACACCAGCGACAGGAGCGCTTAGTAGGTGCGCACTGGCTCCCTGCCCGAGCCTGCCTGTCCTGCGCTCTGCCCCTGGAAGCTGGTTAGTGGAGCCCCTGAATTTACAGGAAACAAAGCACCTTTCTAGTTAATTCTGTTTGTTTTCTTCTTTTTTTAATATAAATGCAAATGAAGGTGCTCCAGGCCTAGAACAAAACCCAGCCCCAAGTCGGCCTCCCAGGCATCGTCTCCTGTCCGACAGGGGCCTTAGTGAGTCAGGTTCACCTCCTGGGCTCAGTCCTCCAGCCCTGGACGTCGGGAGTGAGCGCCCACTCGCAGCTCCCACTCGAGGGGCAGGCACCGGGCACTCGCTCCACTAATGAACCCGCTTCTCGGAGGCAGCTAATGGCTTGCTCTGGGAAATGGATCTTAAACACGTTATAACGACCACTTCCAGTCGGATCTGCGGCCGCGCCTTCGAGAAAGGCTTTGGTGGCACAGAGGCTGACTCTCCCGGGAGCCCTGGGCACAGCCTAAGGAGGGACGCCCAGAGGTCCAGGGGCCCGAAGGCGGCTTCCGCTCCACCTCACGCCCAGCCCGGCTGCCTCCTCCCGCGGCTGCTTCGATGTCGGTGCCACTGTAGCCACTTCCCAGAGAGGATGCTGTTGACTTCGGCGCGTGGTGAGCCCAGACCTTTGGGACTCGCCATCGAGTTACAGATGGAAAGCCTGTCGTGCTTGTCTGATTGGCAGGACGGTTGGGAAGCTCTCCCCCAACCCCCAGGCTATTGGTGGAGGTGGAGGTGGTGGTGATGGAGGCAATGGTGATGGAGGTGGTGGTGATGCTGGTGATGGTGATGGAGGTAGTGGTGATGGAGGTAGAGGTGATGGTGATGCTGGTGATGGAGGTAGAGGTGGTGGTGATGCTGGTGATGGTGATAGTGGTGATGGAGGTGGTGATGGTGATGGAGGTGGTGATGGTGGTGGAGGTGGTAGAGGTGATGGTGGTAGAGGTGGTGGTGATGGTGGTGGTGATGGAGGCAGAGGTGGTGGAGGTGATGGTGATGGAGGTGGAGGTGATGGTGATGGAAGTAGAGGTGGTGGTGATGTTGGTGATGGAGGTTGAGGTGGTGGTGATGCTGGTGATGGTGATGGAGGTGGTGGTGATGCTGGTGATGGTGATGGTGATAGTGGTGATGGTGGTGGAGGTGGTGGTGATGGTGGTGGTGATGCTGATGGTGATGGAGGTGGTGGTGATGGAGACAGAGGTGATGGTGATGGTGGTGATGGAGGTGGTGGTGATGGTGATGGTGGTGGAGGTGATGGTGATGGTGGTGATGGAGGTGGAGGTGGTGGAGGTGATGGTGATGGAGGTGGTAGTGATGGAGGTAGAGGTGGTGGAGGTGATGGTGATGGAGGTGGTAGTGATGGAGGTAGAGGTGGTGGAGGTGATGGTGATGGAGGTGGTAGTGATGGAGGTAGAGGTGGTGGAGGTGATGGTGATGGAGGTGGTAGTGATGGAGGTAGAGGTGGTGGAGGTGATGGTGATGGAGGTGGTAGTGATGGAGGTAGAGGTGGTGGAGGTGATGGTGATGGAGGTGGTAGTGATGGAGGTAGAGGTGGTGGAGGTGATGGTGATGGAGGTGGTAGTGATGGAGGTAGAGGTGGTGGAGGTGATGGTGATGGAGGTGGTAGTGATGGAGGTAGAGGTGGTGGAGGTGATGGTGATGGAGGTGGTAGTGATGGAGGTAGAGGTGGTGGAGGTGATGGTGATGGAGGTGGTAGTGATGGAGGTAGAGGTGGTGGAGGTGATGGTGATGGAGGTGGTAGTGATGGAGGTAGAGGTGGTGGAGGTGATGGTGATGGAGGTGGTAGTGATGGAGGTAGAGGTGGTGGAGGTGATGGTGATGGAGGTGGTAGTGATGGAGGTAGAGGTGGTGGAGGTGATGGTGATGGAGGTGGTAGTGATGGAGGTAGAGGTGGTGGAGGTGATGGTGATGGAGGTGGTAGTGATGGAGGTAGAGGTGGTGGAGGTGATGGTGATGGAGGTGGTAGTGATGGAGGTAGAGGTGGTGGAGGTGATGGTGATGGAGGTGGTAGTGATGGAGGTAGAGGTGGTGGAGGTGATGGTGATGGAGGTGGTAGTGATGGAGGTAGAGGTGGTGGAGGTGATCGTGATGGTGGTGGTGGTGATGGAGGTAGAGGTGGTGGAGGTGATGGTGATGGTGGTGGTGGTGATGGAGGTGGTGGACGTGGAGTGCTGGCTGCCGGGGCTGCCAAGAGCTTGACTTGAATTTCTCTGCCTGGGGCTGCGGCCTGGGTGCACTAGGGACCCTGGCAAACTTGTAACTTCCCTGCAGGAGGCGCTTGAGGCCAAAATGGGGTTCCACAACCAGCGGCCACTCCTGACAACAGGGCAGGAATCCCCATGACACCCCTTTTTCAATCTAGTGTGGGACCTGAGTGGTTACACCTTCAGGGTCACCGGAGAAGAAACCGCACTTAGAATTCAGGTCTCACCTGGAGGGGCCAGGAGGGCGAGTTACAACCTGCCCTGTCTGAGGGGGAGGAAGGGAAGGAGGGGGAGCAGGAGGCTTACATCTGGGGTGTGATTCCCAGGCCCTTTGGGCCCATCTGGACGCGGGGGGTGGGGCTGCTGCAGGAGCCGAGGGCACCGCCTGGGAGCAAGCTGCTGCCCGGGTGGGCGCCCCCTGAGACACGGCCGTGGGCCCCTTGCCTCCCAGATCCAATGCTGCACCTGCTTGAATCCAGACTTTCCAGACGCCGCCCTTATCTCGTTCGCACGCAGAGCCCTGAGCAGGGTGTTGGGGTGAGGGCTCCCCACTTCCCGGCCCGCAGTGCAGCTTTCCCAGCGTGTGTGCGCCTCACCGGGCCGCCGGCCTGGTCTGTGCTTTGCTCTGGGGACCGTCTAGATGACAAGATAAGGCCTGGCCTTGGGCGGGAGGGAAGCTGGAAACCCAAGCGCAAGGCGCTGTGCAGCCACCGTGAGGAGCAGGAACAGCTAAGCGTTAACCCCTCCCCTGCTGCCTCCAGAGCGTCTTCCTGGCTTTCTCCTGGGCCCTGGGCAGCT